TTAGCGGGCTTTGACTTTGCATATCCTAAGAAGGGTGCCCGCGCTACGTTTGCTCTTGGCAAGCAGCTCCAGTCCCGCATGCAGATTCCTCCTATCGGAATGCGCTTGGCCATAGTTCGCGATGGCCCCGAGGTGGTCGGAGTTGAAGCGAGCAAGGAGAAGGCGCACACGGCCCGCAGCCATGGCAACGTGCCCGGCGGCTAGCGAGGTCGCCGGCAGCAACTCTCCCGTCTGACTCTGGAGGTGCGCCGTGCACTCGCCGTTCTTGTCTATTACTGCAACAGCCCATCCGGTCTGATGCCTGAGAGCGGGCGCCTGTTTGAAACAGCTTCAGTCAACAAGACCTTCCCCGTCCATGGCCGCGGCCATCTGGCCGCCGCTTCGGGGCCAAAGCTCCAAAGAGAAACAAATGCCTTCTGGGCGACGCAGGCTTGGGGCTGACATTGGGAACCGTGGGCGAGGGGAGCTGCTTGGGAGCACCCTTCTACATGCTCTACATCTTGGAGGGTCAGCAAATCACTTTTCACGTTGAGGATGCGGGGGCACTCGAACCTGCGCGCCATGTCGTCTCTGCCATGGCCGCGTGGACACGTCGCGACAATGTGGTAACTTGCGGCCGCGAGTCTGGTCTTTGTCCACGGGCATTGGGTAAGATTTAACGTCGGGCCACCGCGCTCGCATGGCGGGAGAATGGGGTCCCCAAGGCTTGGTTGACAGCTGTGGCATTTAGCCTATCCTCTGGCATTCCCATCTTGGCGGCCGCTCTCTCCTCGAGGTTCGCCGCCCAGGCCTGAGCAGCGCCGGCGACACTACTGTGGGCTGGAGCATAAGGCCCTCGGGGGTCTCGATCTCATAGGGGCTCTTGAGGCTCCAGTTGATCCGCTTGAGGCTTAGTATCGCGGATCCTATGGGCCATCGGCAAGGCATCCATTCCTTGGGGGGTCTTCAGGATGCTGTTGTTCTCCTTCGAATTCAACGTGCGTGATGCCTGTGAGCCGAGACTGGGTGGCCACCCTCCAGACCATTATGCCGTGGTATATCACGGGGCCCAAGGGGGCTCTCCACGCGGGACCCCCTAGGAGGCGCGGGCTGAGGGATCGGGATCGGGTCGGGCTTCTGGGGCCCACCTGAAGTGCACGCTCTGGCTTCGCGTGACTTCGCCAGTCGTTGAACCCGAGACCTCGGTGCCGTAACGGTTAGCTTGGTCCAGGCCTGTTCTGTGCAACTTGCGCGCGTCTGCGCCCGCCTGTCTCGGCGCCGTCAACTTATGCTCGCGCGTGCGCAGCATGGCGCAGCGGACTCGGAGTCCTCGGCCCGATCGAGCGCGCCCTCCTGCCGCGCAATCAATACCTAGGTCGGCTGCCGAGTTTATCCGCACTTCTGTCTGAGGCCCTGCCAGCGGCCCCGTGGATCGGGCGAGAGGCCCCCGAACAGCGAGGGCGACGCTAAGACCGCTGAATTATACGAGGCGATTCGGCCTCCCAAGTCGATATCGGCCGAGTAGTTCACGCCGTGGGCGGCGGGGGAGAGGTCAGCGACTAGCTTCCCGGGGATCTGATCTCGGGCCTGGGCGAGAAGGTCACGCACGAACGCGTGGAGGTCTACATTCGGGTTGCCCGAGGCCCAGACATTGAGCGGGGCAAGGCAAAACATCTGGGCAATGTAGGCGGCGGCGCTGCAGCCCGCGGGCATTCCAAACTTCGGGCTTCCAACAAACATGGCCAGGCCTTGGCTCGCGACAAGCCGTGTGCCTCCATGCTTATTGCACACCATCGTGGCAGTGGCCTGATTGAATTCAGCTCCGACGGCTCTGGAACACCACTTGCCCCTATCCATACGTTCGCAATGCGTCAATGGTTCCCGAAGGATCGCAGCAGCGCGTCCAGCCGCCCCCGCATAGTGGGCCCACTCGGCTTGAAACGCTTGGTGGTGCACACTTTCCAAGTATCCGCGGCCCGATTGGTGGGCCAAGAATTGTCTCCGATTCTTGTTCCCCCATCTTCGGGCAACAAGCTGTCGCGCGCGGGCCCAGGTCCTCCAAACCGCTGTCATAAGGCGAATGCCATGGTAGCTTGGATGCTCTCAATCTGCCTGCTGCTTATCACTGGGAACCAGGGTCGCGACGGTGGCGCGCTTGCGCCGGGAAGAGACCCGCCGCCTCGCGGGCGCTGAGGAAGCGGGCGACGAGCTCGAGCCCTAGCGGCGGCAGCAAAGTAAACTGCCTAGGGCGAAAGCCGTCATATGTGGACGCAGTGTCGTGACAAAATCTCCTGGCAGCCGACAAAACATCTGCGGCCGCGACTGGTTCGAGCTCCGCACGAGCTTCTGGGTCGGGTCGTTTTTGTCGGCTAAGAATGTCGCGACCCTCGTTCGTCCATATGCAGGCTCATGTATCTGCTTCAGCGTGCAGCAGCCAGGGAGCGCGCCCCGTCCACTTGCCTTCACCTGGTTTCCATATTCTCTGAGGTCTCCAGAAGGTAAGGTCCTCGGGCCACTCGTGGCCCCATCCAGGCCCTGGGATCATGCTGGCCTTAACCCAGCCCTTCCATTGAGCAGCGTCGCTGGTTTTAACCCTAAGGATTTCTCGACCGAGGGCTTTGCCAGCGTCGTCGCATAGCGCATCGAGGGGCCGATGGCCCGCCCACATTATCTGAGGCCCTTGGCCCCTCGCGCGCTGGCTTCGAAGGGGCGCGTCGGTCATTTTACTGCTCTGGTCAAGCAGGTCCGCGGTGAGCGTCTGGTTAGTTTCGTTCAGGGCACCTTCTAGGGCGCGGAATCCGATCTTCTGGCCCAGGAAGGCTTCCATCTGGTCCAGGGCGGCACTAATTCTAACGCTTTCATCCGTGAGTTGTTGAGGTCCCACGGGCGTCTTGGCGGGGAGCTTCTGGGGCTTCACCGGCGCTGGAACCGGGGAGGGCAACCCCGCGGCCAGGTCGAAATGGACAGGCCTGCGGGGGCCGAGGGGACCATTCTGGAGGACCGCGGGCTCCCCCGCATAATCGTGGAAACGCGTTGGGGCCAGGAAGTATTCGAGGAGGGTGGCTGCTTTCTCAGCGCAGAGGGTAGGCCCTCCGGAGCCAGCATACACGTGCACGAGGAGCTTGGAATGGGAGAAGTAAAGTCGCCTGCGATCACTAGCGGCATGCGATGCGTCTGCCCGAGCTGCGCCAGGCTCGCGAGCAAGCTGGGGCCATGCTCGTTCAAGCCGGCCTTGTCGGCAAGGTAGGACTGAGCACAGGAAACATTGGGAATGGCCCGGCACCTCGAGCGCCGCCGCGATGACCCTTCCTGCAGGCGTACCGGCCTTCAAATCTATCTTGAGAACCCACTGGCCGAGCCCATGGCGAACGAGGGCCCTGAATGGCAGCCCCACCTTCGACTTTCGCCCCCTCCGAGAACACAGCGTTCCAACCGTTCCTGGTGCACCGCTGGGTGGCTTTCAAAACTTCGGGCCCCAATAACTTGGTTTCCTGGCAACAAGCGATCTGGTACTATCAAAGCTCCAAACCGGACTCAACGAAAGTCTGTGCGCTCCCTCTGACGTGATTAAAACGATTCGAATGTCACCCACCTGACGGGCTCTCTGCCGCGGCCGCGGCGGCCGAGGCCGAGGAGGTCGCGCCCTTGCCCCGCTGCCGACGGCGGCGGCTGGCGTCGGAGGCGGCGGGTCTCACTGCGTCGCGAGCAGACGCCTGGCTGGTCTTCTCGGACGCCTGGGCAATGCGCCTGCTGCCGACCTCCCCGCCAGTCGGCCCCTCGGTGTCCATGAGCTCGGCGTCATCCTCGGCCTGGCCCGCTGGCTGCTGGCTGCCGCCGTTCGGGCTCTGCGCGGCCGCGACGGCTGCGGCTGCGGAAGCAGCCTCGTTGAACTCCACGTCGAGCTTCGTCGCCGTTTCGTTGAGCTCCTGCTTGGACACAGGGGAGATCTCCTTCTCACCGAACTTGGCCTTGACATGTGCCTCGAGCGCTGTGGCCGTTTTAGCCGTGTCGACATTGTCAACATGCTTCCCCGCCGTTGCCGATGCTGCAACCTTAAGCTGGGCCTCCAGCTGCTGTATCTCCTGCTGGATATCCTCACACTCCTCGGCCACCTCCGTGTACTTGACACTGAGCTGCTGGATCGTCTCAACATACCACTGAGCGTCGTGCTGCTTGCCCGCGAGCCTCTCCCTTTGCGCCACGAGCTGGGCGCTGAGGCTCTGGGTCTGCTGGTCCGGCGACTTGGAGGCGAGGGCGGCAGCTTTCGCGGCCTCAAGCTCCTGCTGCGTTTGCTTGTAGTGCTGGACCCCGACCCTATCGATGCCGCGCCGGAAGGTGACGGCCTTGATGCAAACGGCCTGATTGTCATCGAAGTGGACTGCGCTGCGGGTCCACCTGTTGGATTTGCTCTTGGACGTAGAGCGGGACTGGCCGCCTGCCTGGGGGCTGGTGCCGACGAGACTGCAAAACTGGCACCGCATTTCGCACAATGGCGGTGCTGGAGATCTGCACAAGACCATCCCCGACACGATGGCGTAGCACAGATCTGATAGCTTCTCTTGTAGCGCCTCTGGCTCTTGGCGGAACGGCAATCACGACCTTCGCGCTCACTTCGGCCTGCATGCCCGACACCCTGCGCGTCCCGCGCCATGCTGCCAGCGCGGCGAGGCAGACACACGCGAGGAGGCGGAGGCTATGGTGGAGGTGGCCCTCTGGGCGGCGTGGGAAGAAACCGTGGCGGCAAAATCTGGCCGAGGCAGTCAGGCCTGTGGAAGGGCTGCCCTTCCGCCTCGACCTCGGGCCTCGCGAGTCGGGACGGGGAGGAGTTTCCGTTTTGAGTCAAAATGGCTTGAGCCAAAATGGCTACGGGGGAGGAGGAGGAGGAGGAGGAGGAGGAGGAGGAGGAGGAGGAGGAGGAGGAGGAGGAGGAGGAGGGAGGAGCCAGGCGACAAACCTCCCGGAGCCTCCCTCGTCCCCGAAGCAACGACGGCGGCCACTTCAGCACCCTCGCGGAACCCCGCCTGCTTCCGGGTCGCCGCCGCCCCGCGACGCGTAGGCCAGCGCGGGGCTGCTGGCCCAGGTGGGGAGGGCGGCCCGCTGGTGCTGCGCGGAGCTCCAGTGCGACCTCGCAGGATGGAACAGCAAGTTTCAGTGGCGACCGAGGGGGGGGGGAAACGAGGAGCAGGAGGCCTTCTCAGAAGGCGGCGGGGCTCCTCAGAGGCCCACGCGCCTACTGGGGAGTGGTCGGCGTCTTTTGGGGGAAGGCTTGGAAAACTTTTCATAAGGCCGGGAGACATCCGAGCCTTGTGAGAAGGCGCGCCCCCTCTCGCACTTCCCCCCCCCCCCACGCCCCCGGGGTTCGCGCCGAACCTCGCCATAAGGAACAGCAAATTACAAAAACGTTGCTGGCCATCCTCCTCCTCCTCCTCCTCCTCCTCCTCCTCCTCCACCTTCTCCTCCTCCTCCTATTCCTCCTCCTCCTCCTCCTCCTCCTCCTCCTCCTCCTCCTCCCATCCCCCTCCTCCTCCTCCTCCTTTCTTCTTCTCTCCTCCACCCTCTGGTTTTGCACTGGCATTCCTCCTCATTGCTTTACTCTGGCATTCCTCCTCCTCCTCCTCCTCCTCCTCTTCCTCCTCCACCTCCTCCGCCTCCTCCTCCGCCTCCTTCACCTCCTCAGCGTTCTCATCCTCCTCCTGCTCCTCCTCCTCCTCGTCATCCTCCTGCTCCTTCTCGCATCATTTTTCTTCTGGACGCGTTCGACGTCGACCTCAGAGCTTCTTGGGGCGCGCCCCACTGAAGGTTCTGCAGGTGTCCCCCTTGGCAGCAAGGGGTGAGAAAGTTCGGCGGGGCACCGGCTGGCTGCCTATTATTTGTTAGATAAACGAAACATTTAAACTGGTGTGCCCAACGTGTGGACTTCCTGAGGCCCTCCAACTTCTAGACGGCAAGATCAAGATCACATCAAACTCCTCCTCCTCCTCCTTCTCCTTCTCCTCCTCCTCAGCTCCTCCCTCCTCCTCCTTCTCCTCCTCCTCCTCCTCCTCCTGGCTCCCCATCACTGCTCAGACGACAAACCGACGTCACAAGCAAGAGCTTGCGCAGGACCTTCAAAGCTGTGTGGTGATGCTGTTTTTTGTTCCTCGTCGGCTCGCCCCCTCGGGGAGAGGCCCGCCCCAGCGGCGACGGCCCCAGACTCTGGGCGGCTTATGTGTCTTGAGCCTATGTTGCTTGTGTGGCTTGAGCCTATGTGTGCTCCTCCGTGTCAGAGTGGCGGGGCCGAACGGTCCTACACCATCCCTGGGTGCGTGGGTGATCTGGGACCCCGTGGCCCACCCCGGATTTCGTTTGATTATAGTTGGTGGTTGTTGTCTTTTGCTGTCGTCGTCCTCGCGCGATCCGAGGGGGAGAAGGAGGAGGAGCGGCGGCCAGCGAGGGGGAAGTGAGAAGGAGGAGGCCTTCTCAGAAGGCGGCGGGGCTTCTCAGAAGCCCTCGCGCCTTCTGAGACGCTTTCTTCGTCTTCGGGGAAGGCTTAGTAAACTTCTCAGAAGGCTGGGGGCCTTCCGAGCCTTCCGAGAAGGCCCGCACCCTCTCACCACCCCCCCCTCGCTCGACGCAGGGAGGCTGAAGGCAGAGGCGGGAGGAGGGGAGGACGAAGGAGGCGGGAGGCGGGAGGATGCGGGAGGAGGGAGGACGGAGGAGGGAGGACGGAGGAGGGAGGACGGAGGAGGCGGTCAGGACGGAGGAGTGAGGAGGACGGAGGAGGACGGAGAGAGGACGGAGGAGGGCGGAGGCGGGAAGAGGGAGGAGGACGCGGGAGGGAGGGAGGGATCAAGGAGCAGCGGCGGCCTCCCGAGGAAGAGGTTGCCCTCGTGCATGTCGCGCAGGGCCTCCCGCTCCGAGCTGTCCTCCAGGGCTGGGCCTAAACGGTTTCGTTTCCGTTTTCGTCTCGGTTTCGCTGCCCCCCGCCCGCTGCTGTCTCGAGCCCGCCCCTCTGCCGCAGAGCCAAGGCGAAGCGAGGAACGGCCAACGGAAGCACCAAAACCACCGTTGAGGTCCAGCCCTGCTGTCCTCCGCGAGCTGGTCGAGCCCCATGGAGATGCTCTTGGCGCGCGCGCGGCCCGACGTCCGCTGCAGGTTGGCGTGCCTAGGGCGGCGCACGGAGCCCGCCAGCGAGGCGGCCCCCACCACTGGCCATCGCTCGGACGTTTTTCGGTTTCGTGCGTGGTTTCTTCGCCAAACGATCTAGGATGCTCCTCGATGGTCCTCGCCGCAGGAAAAAATTGACACGTCCGAGCGATGCCAAGCCCAACCACTGGTCATCACGTCCGAGCGGTGCCAAGCCCAACCACTGGCCATCGCTCGGACGTCCATTCCCTGTGCTTTTCTTGGTTTCGTGCGTGGTTTCTTCGCCAAATGATCGAGGATGCTCCTCGATGGTCCTCGCCGAAGGAAAAATGCACACGTCAGAACGATGCCAAGCCCAACCACTGGCCATCGCTCGGACGTCCATTCCCTGTGTTTTTTTAGGTTTCGTGCGTGGTTTTTCGCCAAGTGATCGAGGATGCTCCTCGATGGTCCTCGCCGGAGGAAAATGCACACGTCCGAGCGATGCCAAACCCACCGCTCACGGAAGGATGGTTGCCAGACGCGCTCTCGGTGGCAACTCACCGGCGCCTCCCATGCCATCTTGCCGGCTCTTGCGAACCGACGCTCGTCGACGCCAGTCGACGCTGAGTCGACGCCATCTCATCGACTCCAGGACGCTGGTCGATCTGATCGACGCGAAAGACGAAATTGAGAAGGTACACCAAGCTCCCACGATCTGCTAACATAGCGCGCTGGCAGAGGTCCGGACGACTTCCGGCCTCGGGATGCTCTTCCGCAGCTGCGCCTCGCCGAGGGCAATCCCGGAGGTGCCCGGATCGTCCCGGACGGCTGCCGGAGGCCCGAAACCTATCCCGGAGATCAAACCTCCTCGCCTCGTGCAGGAGTCGGGCCTGCACTGACCATCGCTCGGACGTCCATTCCCTGTGCTTTGTTCGGGTTCGTGCGTGGTGTTGTCCGCCAAAAATGATCGAGGATGCTCCTCGATGGTCCTCGCCGAAGGAAAAGTGCACACGTCCGAGCGATGCCAAGTGCACTTGTGGTGCAGTGAGAAGCCTCTCGGGGCCCCTGCGGCGCCCCAGGGGCGGCAAAGGCAAGCAAGGGTGAAAACATGGCCCTTGGGGTCGACGCTGTGAAGAATCAGACGTCCGGAATCTTAAACAAGCGCGTTCCACGACTCGCAAATGGCCTGGATCCCCCGGGGAGGATCTAAGATAATTGAATTATCAAAGCGACATGTGTTGTTCTAACGTTCGCGAGTAGGCACTTTGCGAGTAGTGGAACGCGCTCGATGAAATCTGGGGAGGCGAGGGCGCGAAGGGGCGGTCTTCCAGTCACAGGCTCAAACTTCCCTCGCCTGGTAAGGATTCGATGTCCAGGACCCTGGGAGGCAGTGGATAAGGATGACACTTCCACATGTTTTGCCTTTGGGGGTCCTCTGGCGGACTTCTACTGAAATGACCGGGTAGCCGAAACTGATCTTCAGCAGGGCGAGGGGGGGGGGGGGGAAATCAGCTGCGTGCGTGCGTGTAGCTAGCTGGCTGCTTCTTCTGGCCACTCCTCCCGCTGGGACCGACAAATCCCCCTCTCCCACACCCCCTGCCTTGCCACCCGCCCCTTAGGAGGCACGTGGCTTTCTGCAGAAGGGCTCGGAGGCTTCTCAGAGCGCTTCTCCGAAGGGGGGAGGGTTTCTAAGACGCCCGCTGCCTTCCTTGAGATCCGACGTCGGGAACCCAAAAAGGAGTGAACTATCACATTCGGAGCCCTCTGCGGCACTTCTGGACCAGAGCACCGATAGCGGGGCGAAATCTCAGTGTGGGCACAAAGCGCGATGTCCCCGCCTCAGGTCCTAAGCAGCCCCACCTGCTCTTTGAGAAAGCCCACCGCCCCAACCCCCTTTTTGCTCGCAGCCAAGCGCCGGAGGCGCTCGTACTCGAAGACCGCCTGTTTGGCTGGCGAGTCGGGCTCGGTCTCGGCTCTCCTCCGGGGTACGCCCCGATGACGGAAGACTCGAGGATGACTGGAGACTCGAGACCCGAGGACCAGAGGACTCGAGGATCGATGGCAACCTCCTGAATTCTCCTTCGAGGATCGTGGATTCGAGGCCGGCTGGCGACTCACAAATCGAGGCATGGAGGTCCCGACCCGAACATCAAAGACACGAAGTTCTCACAACAATCCTGTGTGGGATACTTGTTTTTGAATAAAGCAATGTTATCCCCATCCTCCTCTTTTTTTTCCTCAGTCTCCTCCTAATCCTCCTGCTGTTCCTCCTCGCCACCCACATCCTGCGTCACGTTTTATGCCCAATCTTCCTGTGTTGGTCTTTCCCGCTCTGAATACAACATTGCGGTCGCGACTCCGTGAACCTCCTTCTCCGCCTCTCCCAATTTCCTCTTGCATCCTGTGCGCTCCATCACGGGAGCCCACGAAAGTGGTGAGAATCACGCAATTCGTAGCCGCCGAAGGAGACGCGAAATTTCAAATGATCTCGGTTGCCCTACATTCCGCCGTGCCCCCCAGGAACCCACGGAAACTGGCGACAGTCGCGCGAGGTCTTGAATAACCCGCGTAGGCCTGTACCCCGCCGTGCGTCGCAGGAACCCATGAAACTGGCGACGGCTACGCATGTCGCACCCCCCGGCGGAACCTCTGGGTCTTAAGTGATTCGCGTAGCCCTGCGCTCCGCCGAGTTTCCCAAGAACCCGGCACAATGGCGACAATTGCGCAACTCTCGGGTGGCACGACGGGGCGGAAGGCAATCTGGATAGTTCGAAACCTCGCGGTTCCGTCGGGGGCTGCGAACTGCGCAATTGTCGCCACTTTCGTGGGCTTCTGGGTGTGAAGGCGAAGTGCGGGGCAAGGCTGGTCATGTGAGACCGCGCGGCTCCGTCGGGGGGTGGAAACAGCGTAGCTGTCGCAACTTCCGCGGGCTCCTGCGAGGCACGGCGCGTTGCAGGGCAACGCGGGTCAGTTGAGACCTCGCGGCCCCGTCGGGGGCTGCGAACTGCAACGCTCGCCACTATCGTGGGCTCCTGGAGAGCACGGCGGGGTGCAGGGCCACGTGGGTCACGTGACACCTCGCGGCCCCGTCGGGGGCTGCGCACTGCGCAACCGCCGCCACATTCGTGACTTACCTGGACGCATGGCGGAGTGCAGGGCGCTTATAAGACGCGTGCCCCCAATGGCGCGTGGCGCCGTCCCGTCGTTTAGCGCGCGGCGCTGCTGCATCACAGAGCGCAAAACGCTGAAGCATCACGTAGCGCATGGCGCTGTCCTCAGTGGCCCACTTTCTCCCCTCAAGGGATTGCCGCCCGCATTAGCAGCAGCACCAGCAGCAACAGCAGCAGCAACACCAGCAGGGGTGATCCGAACACATGTAACGCATTGCGCTGTTACTCTCACCGCTGTGTTTTCCCCTTCCGTCTCCATCCCTTGTCCTCCTTCCCCGTCTTCCTCATCCTCATCATCCACTTCTGTCCCCCGTTGTTGTTTCTTGTCGTGCTTGTCGTCGCCGTACCTCTTACGATCTGAATTGCGCAAGTGTGCGATGCGCATGACTCGACATTGTTTTATTGGCGAAGAAATTCCGAGTGTTGCAAATCTCGCGATGTGTTAGCGTAGAGAACAGGTTGGGTGAGTGTCTCGGGTAATGTGCTTCCTCTGGCGGCTCAAGGGGCGAAGGCCGACAATTGTGGGCGTCTTCTAGGTCACCTAACGTCGCGCATCCCGCACCACGACGTGCGCTGCGCCACGACCCTCGGGCCGTGCGCCGCCCCCCGAAAGAAGGGCAACCACTCCGGCCCAGGCCGAGACGCGCGAAGCGACACCCTCCTCGCGCCCCCGCGTGTGACCCGAACAAGTCTTCGTCTGGTTTGGCAGGAAAGCTTTCGGAAGCCGCCGCAGGGGCGCCCAGGGACCCCCCCCGCGGAGCGCCCGCCGCAGCGGCCCACCTCTCCGGATGCTGGGGCGCCTCCCGCCGCCCCGGCGCCCCGCAGGAGCGGCTCCACGGGCCGTCCGCAGGAAGCCTCTCGGGGAGAGGCTGGCCTGGGGGGAACTGACGACCTGCCAGGCCACCCCAGCCAAACCCGCCCCGACCCCCTCCCGCTGGAAATGAAGGGCAAATTGGGGCTTTCGGGTTGGGTTGGGGTGGTTCGGTGGGTGGTGAAAAGCGGTCGGGAGTCCCAGACGCGGGCGGCTTGAAGAATCGGGGCGTCAGGGGTCTTGGTCCGCAGGTGCTCGGCCGTCTTCGGGGTCGCCTCTCTCATCAGCTAGCACGGCGGTGCTGATGCCTCGATTGGCCTTCTCTGGGCCACCTGATGGCTCAGAGGCCATGGGAGGACGCGAGCTATCCACCGACACCGATGTTGGGATGGCCCCGTCCTGGACCCAAAACCAACAGATACGCCTCCCTCGCTAAGCCAGCGAGGGGCTTGCGCCGATCCCGGGCCTAGGATGAGGGCTCGGCAGGGCCGGTGAAACTGAACGATTGGCGTCCTCCTTTGAATGTGCCTCTCGGGGTGCATCGCGGTCCATAGGAGGCCAAGCGGGGGACTTCGAAGCACTCGCCAGGGCAGAATGCTGGACGGACTCCGTCTAAGCCCAGGCTACTCCTCGTCAGATAAAGAAAGAACATAGCTTTGGCCCGGCAAGAACTCTGCCATCTGTGAACAACGTGTTGCCCACTACAAACAAGAGGTGCTCGACGGAACGGGGGCGATCAGCAGACTAAAAGTAAGACCACTCTTCGCCGCCAAACGCTGCGCCGACGAAGGTAGAATCGTGGCAGAGGGCTGCCACGAGAGTTCTCATCGTGGTAGAAGACACAACAGAAAAGTCCACAGGGAGGACGGGGAGCGCTGGGAAGCCCGGTCCGGCAACGGTTTCGCCTGAGACCTCCTCACACACTGCGCCTTCTCGCTTGTGCCCGCGGACCAAGCATGATTGGTCCGGGAGGCCACGATCCCTGGAAATAAATATAGTAAGGTGGCCGTGCTCTCGATCCTGTCCCGGCTGCATCTTTCCCTCGGAATGCCGAGGAATCTCTAGGAATACCGTGGGGGCTCACGTTTTCACTCGCCGACCTCCTCCTCCACCCGTCGCTGCACCATTGCTGCTATTAGGGTGCTTTGCTGGGGTAGTGTCCCCAGATGGCTACGCTCGTCGTCGCCCAGCTCTTTCGCCAGCGGCCTGGCAGCGCGCCCTTCGCCCCTTGCCCCGAGAGACGCCTGGGACCTACCGTCGACCGATCGGCTCGATCGATGCCACGCCGTCAAGCTGACGCGGAAGAAGAAACAAATGCATCAGCATGAACTTTCGGAGATCCGCGGGGACTTCTTGGGTCGCCGCTGGATCGCCCCTCCCCGGCGCGCGGAAGGATCGACGACGGAAGCGCCGCCAAGGGGGCCCAACGATGACCCAAGAGACCGGCGAAGACCGCCCGCCTGCGAGATCTGCGAGACGCTGCGTGCGCCTCCAAGCGGCGAGGAGGAAGGAGGGGGAGGAGGGAAGGTGGAGGGAGGGTGGAGGGAGGAGGGAGGAGGGAGGAGGAGGAGGAGGAGGAGGAGGAGGAGGAGGAGGAAGGAGGAGGAGGAGGAGGGAGGAGAAGGGAAAAAAGATGAGGAAGGAGGAGGAGGGAGGGTGGAGGGAGGAGGGGCGCATGGGATCCATGATGGCTGGCCCCTGTCGGTCTAAGACCGCCTCCCCGCTGCCTCGACGCGCAGGCCTCCGACGGCCTGTGCCGTGCTCGCCTCTTCCCGCTCGGCTCGCAGGGCGGCGCGGTGTCCTGCGCGTGCAGGGGGAGCGGCCGCGCCCGGCCGCGGCCTCCGCGGTCTCGTCCCCGGCGTCGTGAGAGGGAGAGCCTCGGAGAAGAGGGGCACACGGGCATCGGGGGAGGAGGGAGGAGCGTCGAGGGTGGAGGGGAGGTGGGCAGCGATGCCCCGACAGCTGGGAGAGGCACACGGACTCTCCCCACGAACTCTCGAGCGCGACAGTGCCCGCCAATGCAGCGGCTGCGTGTAGAGTAGCCCCCGCAGTCACCACCGCCCCCCGTTCAGCACACGACGACGGCGGCGGCGACGGCGGACGGAGAGACCATGACCCCCACCTCCACTCCATGAGCGTAACTCACGGCGGGAATATGTTTTTGCCATGTTCGGCTTCCGGCTGCCCTCATTAGGCCCTGGGACCCTCAAATTGTAAGTCAAGTCGGGACGGAGAGGCGGTCGAGGTAGTCTTAGGATAGGGTTCCAATTGACCCCAGATAGGGTGCAAGAGCAGCGTGCCACTCATGGGGGTCAGCGGGCCGCTGCGGTCCTCAGCGGGCACTCTTGGGCCTTGTCGTGGGTCTCTTGGGGGTCTCTTCGGCCTGCCTTGGGGTCATCGGGGGCCTTCTCGTTGCCCCCCTGGGCCGTCTTGGAACGCTGATGGGGGCCTCTATCGGCGTCCGAGGCTGTCGGAAGCGAGAATAAACGGAACAAAAAGAAGCACATGATGAAGATGAGGGAGTTTTGCTCCTGGAGGACACAGGAGGCGTCTACTGGGGCGCTCCTGGGTCGTCTTGGGGGCGTCCTGGGCCGTCTTGGCACCACATGAGAGCCCTCTTTGAGAATCGGAAGCTCGCCCAGGACTGTACTGGAGGCCTCTTGGACTCCGTGGGCCGTCTTGGGGCTCCCTCGGGCCGTCCGTCTCCTGGCTCTCTCTGAATCCCTCTGGGCTGTCTTGGAAGACACAAGGTGACCTCTTGAGTTGGCACGGACCGCCGAAAGCCCCAACAAAAGGAGAATGCCAACATCTTTGAACAAACAGAGGGGCTCAAGGATCCGGGAGGCAGACTGGGACGCTCTGGGGTCATCTTGAGGGCGTCCTTGGGGCCTATTGAAATCATCTTGGGCGTCGTTTGGGCCGTCTCGGGCTGTCGGCAGCCCTGGAGGGACTGCCTTGGCGTCCTGGGTGGCAGCTTTGAAACCCCCGGGGGCCGCCCTCGGTCTCTTGGGGGTGCCCCGCAGGCTGTCCTGGAGCGCTGATCGGGGCCTCCTGGGCCGTCCCTGCCCATCGGAGGCCCGAACAAGCGAACAGACAAGAGCAGCCAGAGCACGAACTAACCTGGCAAAACACCCAATTAGATGCGGTTGTGGGTGCCGCAGCTGAATATCGTCTGGAATGGAGCTCCCTGTGGGGCCACGAAGCGTGTGGGAGGTCTGCCGGAATGGGTGGCGCGGACGCATGCGCACCCTGCCGCTCGAGTCTTCGGTGGAGCTCCCCATGGGGCCACGACACGTGTGAGGGGTGTGCCGAAACGGGTGGTGCGGACTCGTGTGGACGGTGCCCGTGGGGCCTTGGGTGGAGCGCCCTATGGGGCCACGAAGCGTGCGAGGGGTGTGCCAGAATGGGTGGCGCGCACGCATGTGGACGTAGCCCGTGCAGCCTTGGGTGAAGCTCCCCATAGGGCCACGAAACGTGTGAGGATGTGCCCAGCTGGGTGGCGCCAAAATGGGTCACTCGCCGGGGTCCTCTTGGAGCCTCCTTGGACCGCTTTGGGAGTCCCTCGGGCCGTTTCGACTAGCTTTTGGGCCGTCGAAGACCGCTGGAGGCCGTCTTCGGGGTAGCTCGGGGCAGTCTTGGGCTGTCGGGACGGCTGTCTGATCGCTCTGGGGGCTGTTTGGCGGCCCCCCAACAGCGGGCCCGGGCCCCGAAGCGCCCCGAAAAGAATCGGGACCCTGCCAGGAAAAAAAAAGAATCAGGGGGGAGGGGGGAGTTTTGAAAACATGGGCCAGGATGGGGTCCAGGCACCGGACTTCCCGTTATAATTTATCATATATATATATATTTACACACTATATGCGCTTCGCGTAAGCCCACAAGCCCATCCAGAAACTGTGCCTAGATAAGTTGCCCTGACCAGGGATGTGGAGAAGCACGCAGTGGAATACAGGGCTGGGCAAGACGTCGTATCATAAGAGGGGGCGGAGGAGGAATCGGAGGAGGAGCAGAAAGAGGAGCAGGGAGAGGGGGAAGAGGGGGAGGAGGAGGAAGGAGGGGAACAGGCGGATGAGGAAGAGGAAGAGGAAAAAGAAGAGGAGGAGGAGGACGGCGAGCAGCAAGGCGAGAGGCCCATTGGATGCCTCTCGGGATCTCTTCGGATTTCTTTCGAAGGATTCTTGGAGGGCGTCTTGGGGGTCTCTTGGCAGTCCTTGGGGCTTCTTGAAGCGTCTTGGGTGTCTCTTGGGTGCCTCTTGGGGCGTCCGCGTTGGATCGTCGGAAAGCCGAAAAGGCGAGAACGCGAAAATCTTCAAAACCTTTTGAACAATCAATGACTTTAGCTCTGTGGGGGTCCTCGTGGGAGCCTCTTGGGGGCCTCTTGGGGGCCTCGTTGGGGCCTCTTGGGTGCGTCTTGGGGGCCTCTCGGGGCTTCCGGGGGACGTCTCTGGGCCGAGGGCTCGAGATGTCCGTTCGGGGCCCCCGTCTGGACCTTCTCTAAAGTCGAGGCCTCCGGGGCCGTCTCGGAAGCCTCTCAGGCCGTCTGGAGCCCTCTCGGGGCCGTCTTGGAGCTCTCCCGGGGCGCCTTTGGGCTCTCTTGGGAGCCTCCTGGCCAGTGTTCGGACGATCTTAAAGGCCTCTCGGAAGCGTCTCGGGCCGCCTTGGAGCGTTGCTTGAAACCTTCATGACCAATCTATGAATTTGGCTCTTTGGGGGCCTCGTGGAGGCCTCGTTGGGGACTCTTGGAGGCCTCGTGGGGGCCTCTTGGAGGCCTCTGCGGGCAGCTTGGGTGCTTCTTGGGTGCCTCTCGGGGCTTCCAGGGGGCTTCTCGGGGCCGAGGGCTCGAAATGTCCGTTCGGGGCCCCCGTCTGAATTCTTTCTGGAGGCCTCTTACGCCGTCTGGAGCCCTTTCGGGGCCGTCTTGGAGCTCTCTCGGGGCGTCTTGGGACTCTGTTGGAAACCTCTGTGGGCAGTGTTGAAGTGTCTTTGGCTGCGTCTCGGGCTGCCTTGGAGCGTTGGGGAGCCGAAAAAACGAGAAATGCAAAATCCGTTAAAAATCCTTGACGAGTGAATGAATTTTGCCTCTAGGGAGGCCTCGTGGAGGCTCTAGACTCTAGAGAAGCCTCGTGGAGGCCTCTTGGTGCGTCTTTGAAACCTCTTGGGTAGTGTGGGACCAATCCTGGCCAATCTGGAGCCGTCATGAGCCGTTTGGGCGGTCCCGGAACAAGTTTTCAAGCGATCTGGGGCCGTCTTCGAGCGATCTTGGAGGGCCTCTGGCGCGCTGGCAGGGCCCCTGGCAATGGGGTCCACACATTTGCGGTCAGGGGACCCGCCCAGGTCCCCTGGACCCAGTTCCCCGTTATGCGTATATGGTTGTGGAATGCATCTCCATCTCGCTTACTCGATATTCGCAATCTGCAAATTTCTTAGGTGCATATTCTGGTTGTCGGCTTCATCTCGAGATTAGAGCTACAGAGATTCGATGTGAGTGGGGCATAGCTTCAGCAACATCAGCAACATCAATATAAGGAATGGAGACGGCTGAGATCGGTCGGCTACTCGCTATCACCAAAAGTATTCGCACGCTGGAACTTTTGCATGTGCATGGACTTCCCACATATCATCGTATGGCTAAGCATCTTCGACCACGCCTCCATTCTCGATAGACTTCGGGCTAGATTGGGGCGGCGGCTAATACGAAACACCAACCCATTCGCCTCGCCTGCCCGTGGCCGCGCTGCCCTGCCGTGCCTCTCCTGGGTGAGATGTGCCTCGGGCTCGTGGTCGGGGTGTGCCCTCGGTTCGTGGTCGTGGTCGGCCTGCCTTGCCATGCCACTCCTGGGTGAGATTTGCCTCGGGCTCGTGGTCGGGATGTGCCCTCGGGAGAGGTCCAAGGAGCGTAGCAATTCGAGATCTGTTTGTTCCCCCCACGTGCCTTCTACCTGCTTCTGCGCGTAGAAGCACAGGCGCCCCTCCCTGGGGGTTCCCAGCAGCGAGTATGAGGAGCGGAGCGTCGATCCCAGATAGAACCTCAACGGGAAGTGACTGAGGCCCTCCGAGAACGGGTCGAACATCTCGTGGCACATGTGGACGAATGACAGCATGAAAAACGCGATCATAAAGACGACAGGGACAACCATCCAGCGGTCCATCAGCACCGAGGAGTCTGACAGCAGCGAGGCGTAGACGCCGAGGGGCGAGATAAGCAGCGATACGTTGAGCAGCAAATACAGGACTCTGAAGTAACCGATCGGCGGTGGAGTGTTCTGGTACATGAAGATGTCGCTAGCGGCACCGCGCATCATGCTGATGTTTTCCTGCATTTTGGCATGCATGGAATCGACCAGCAGTTTTGGCACCAAGCCTTGCTGCACGACCTCCAGCCACAACTGCAGGAACCACATGTACGCCACCTGACGGCAACATAACCATAGGATGCTCATTCTGGGGACCTACCTGGAGACACTCGCTTCACTCTTGCGTCGAAGCTGCGTCGATTGAGTCGACCCTGAGTAGAACCTGAATCGAACTTGAGTCGAACTTGGGTCGTAGAATCGAACAGATCCGGAGAATCCCCCAAAAAGCATTTGCATAACCACGAATGCCGCAGCACAGACTCATTCTCACGCGGGCTTAGGCCAGATCCGCCAAGCAACAATCCGAACAGGGCGTGCGCCGATCGATCCCCGTAGACATTGCAAATGCGCTTGAAAGCTACCCCCCCATGTGGCCGGCTCCTGCACTCTTGAACCCAGACATGTTGCCATCTCTTGGGGGCGCATGTTTCACTTCCGCCAGCTTCCACCGGCCTTCCGCCGAGGAAGAGATGACGACCCCTTCGATCCTCGAAGGCGAGGCCCCTCCTTGAACGCCATATCTGTCACGCGCGACCCTTCGCGGGGGGATGTCCTCGTCCTCCTCTCCCTCTCTCTCTGATGGGAAAGGCGGTCTGTGGCATCCGGTCGTCTTCGTCGTTGTCAACGTCCTCCCTCTGCTCCTGTGGCGATCATCCTCCTTCCCCTCGAGGTCACCGTCCCGTCTCCTTCACGCCCCACTCCCCTTTCTGCCTCCTCCTCCTGCTCCTCCTCCTCCTGATATACCTCTCCTCTTCCTCCTCCTGCTCCTCCTCCTCCTCCTCCTCCTCCTCCTCATGCTTCTTCCCCTTGTCATTTTCCTCCCAATCCCGCATCCATCCGCCGCCTCACACACTGATTCTGCTCTTCCACAACTCCAAATCCCCCACCCTCCTCCATCCCATCCCTCTCATTTCTCATCTCCTTCCCCTCCACCCCTCCTTGCCATCTAGTATGCTTCACCCCCAATCCTTCCCACATCATCGGGGTGGCCGGGGCGCCCATTCAGAGGTTCGGATCGCCACAGGCCAACCATGCGGCGAAGATCGGCTTGACGCCGTCTTTCGCTGACGCGACCGACCAGCTTTGCCTTCAGCCCGTCGAGTGGTTCTGCCCCGTCCCGCCTGGTGCAAGGACACACCATCCAACGACTCGATGATCTGCCGCTCGCTCTGCGTCACCAGTTCGGCGCGCTGGAGGTCCTGGAACGTGAGGAGCACCTAGCAGATCAAACATCTGAATAAGACAATACTTTCGGAGGTCCATGCGGATTTCTTGGGTCGGCGCTAACCCACCAAAGACGTCCGCGCGGTTCCCCAAACATGAACGAATTGTTGCTTGACTTTTGTGGTTCGAGCACCTCCTTCCCATGTTTGCTCCGTGCCTGCATATGAACCAGGACGTGGGCAAGGTTCAGGTATCGCACGAGCTCGCACATCAGCTCCTCGGAATCGTCACCCTGAATGTAACTTGTGATCATGATGGTGGTGTCCTGCGTCTTCCCCATGACGACACCAATCAACCGGCGCATCTCCCACCAACGCCCATACATGGTTCCGACCACAGCGGTAAGCGTGAAAACTAAAAACACGCGCGTGAAGTCGAACAAAACCGCGAAGCTTTTGAGAGAGTGCTCCACCTTGGTCCGATGCTCCAGTGGTACAGCCTGCACAGAGCCTACAAACAATGCTGCAAACAAGGTGTAGGCTAACATTGGTCGCCAAATGCCCATGAGGCTGCGCCGCAAGAAACGCCAACCGAACAACGAGAAGAACGCATCGCTGCCGCACAAGATGTCCCGGATGCAACGCCGCGATCGTACGTGCACCGGTACTGGACTGGTGGCCCGGGTGAACCTTTGAGGGGGGGGAGGCGCAACAAAAAACATGACAATGACGACAACGAGGGAAATGGAGGATGTGCAGGAGGAGGAGGAGGAGAACGATGACGATGATGAGAAGCATAAGAGGAATGTGCAGTGCAAATCACAATTATGAGGAAGTCGAGCACGGGGGAAGGGGCAAAGCACGAACGAGGATGAGGAGTAGGGCTACGCGGGAGAATGAGAGAGGAGGAAGACACAAAAGCTGCTGCGATATGGGTTCAGCACCGCGCGGCGCGGCGCAGCATGCCGGGGACCACTGGAGAGCTGGAAGCCCGCGACCCACACTCCCACCAGCGCCCTGGCGGGCACTCCAGAGCGACAGATGGCGCCCTGCGGCAAGGAAGTGGCGAACCACTAACGCTCAGCCTGGAGGTCCTCTCCTGCCCTCGGGGCCGCTTCCCTTAAGTCGGGATTTTCGACGAAAAATAACAAATACAAGCAAACATATTCAAAAAATACCCCAACATTTTCAAACACTTAATCCTCATACTATATTTTTGACTATTTTTGAAGATTCCCCCTGTAGAGGGACAGGCCCGACTTGATGGTAGGCACTCCAGAGCCCTGAGACAGATGGCGCCCTGCGGCAAGGAAGTGGCGAACCACGAACGCTCAGCCTGAGGCCCTCTTCTGCCCTCAGGGCCTCTTCCTCCTTCCTTCCTTCCACTCCGCTTGGCGCCACCCCCAGGTCGGGGCGCGCGCCCGGCCGGGCCGCGCGGCGCGGGCCCTCATAGGCCGGCGGGCTGTGCCCGCGTGCTGCCCTTCCCCGCGGCCAGGGGCTGTTCGTCCTCCTCTTCCTCCTCCTCCTCCTCTTCCTCCTGCTCCTCCTCCTCTTCCTCCTTCTCTCGGGGCCCCCACCTCCAGTCCCCCGCCTACCCTGTCACTTCCTGTGATCACACATCCCGTCGCCATCGACGGCCAAAACCTTCAGGGTCGGCGGCACCGGCCGTAAGGCCATCAAAAGACACACAGATCACAGGATTTGGGTATGTCTGGGGGGGCAGCACTAAGTGGGGGCCCGAAACGCACCGCACTCGACGCCCACACTAGCGCCCGCACTTGACGCACACACTCGCGCCCTACACTCGCACGCCCCACTCGCCCCTTGCGCTCGGCCCCCGCACTCGACCCCCGCACTCGGCCCCCGCACTCTACGCCCACGCTCTACGCACACACCCGCACCCCACACTCGCACTCCACACTCGCCCCTCGCGCTCGGCCCCCGCACTCGACCCCCGCACTCGGCCCCCGCATTCTACGCCCACGCCGTGCGCACACACTCGCACCCGCCCACTCGCACTCCACAAATATAGGGAATCCTGTGACAGGATTCCCTATATTTTTGATTTCTGGGTATGTCCGTCTTCCCCCCGCACTTCCCATGCTTTGCCATCGATTATTGGGAATGGGCGGTTCTTGTGCCTGTGTGTTGTTTCCCTCCTGATCTGCGCAGTTGTGTCGAACCCTGGTGTGCGGGGCTACTGCAGCCATCGCGATGCAATGAGCAACGCTTATAACTAACGGGGCCTCGGTCCAGTCACGGCGGGCCTCAGCCGCGAATAGGTCCTCCATTCTGAGAATCGATCTAGAAGCCAGAGCCCCTACTGATCCCGGATAGCGACGCAGTCCAGGACGCGTGAAGGCTTGTGGCAACCGCTTGCAAAGGACGCCTGGGGAGCTCGCAAGCTTGGAAAAGGAAGCTTCACGGAGCCCCCAATGAGTTTTGACGGAACTGCGAAAAGGCTTCCGGCACCCGTATTGGGAACGAGTGGGAAAACGCTTGCCCGGACCCGCTGGAAGGTCAAGCAACTCGCTGCGTGGATGTCTGCATGAAAGCCTTGGAGGGGAGCTGGCGGAGCCTTGCCTGCCGGCTTCTTCTCTAACATCCCTTTTAGCTCCTATCAGGAGCTGTCCGGGAGAACAGTGTTGTCATTTCTCTTGGGGGGCCTCTCTTGCTTCCACGGGCGTCCACCCCTTTCCGCTGGCGGACTGATATGTTCCGCTGGCCAGCCTTCTGCAAGCCTTCCGCCGAAGACGAGGTGCCAACTTTCAATCCATCGAAGGCGAGGCCTCTCTGGATCGCCTGATGAGTGTGGAGCCCAATGAGGACAGAGGACAGGACTGGGGTGGCAACGGGCGCACCTCTCCCACCTGTCACGTCGGTGAGCGAGGGCGATAGGTGCGAGGATGGGAAGGAGGACGAGTGGGAGGAAGGCATTTAAGACAACGAGAATAAAGATGACTGTGAGGACATGGAGTGGAATCCGCTTTCGTGCCGCGAGGCACTGAGTGGAGTGTCCTCAGGCCCCTTCGAGCTCTCTGTGCTGAGCGTCCCACATACTCTGTAAAGGTCCAAGAACCCTGACTCTCAGAGTTTTCGGACGCTCTTTGCAGTGGTGGCGCAGCGCTGGCCCTTAACGTGCTGGTGACCTGACGCTTTTGACGTTCCTGACGCCCCTGACGCTCCTGACGCCCTCGATGCCCACGAGGCCCCCGACGCTACATGACGCTCCTGACGCATGGAATGAAAGGGTCCCCATCCGCTTCTTATCATTCGCCCTTGCCCCATCCCCCTCCTCCTCCTCCTCCTCCTCTTCCTCCTCCGTCTCCTCCTCCTCCTCCTCCTCCTCCTCCTCCTCCTCCTCCTCCTCCCCCTCCTCCTCTTCCGCCTCCTTCTCCTCTTCGGCCTCCTCCTTCTCCTCCCCCTCCCCTCCCCCTCCTCCTCCTCCTCCTCCTCCTCCTCCTCCTCCTCCTCCTCCTCCTCCTCCTCCCCGTAGCCATTTTGGATCAAGTACGAAACCGTGGCCCTGCGGCTTCGTACTTGTCCGCTGCCGAGGGGCTGGCTCGAGGCGAGCTGGCCGCAGCGGCCCCTTTCTTCCTCACAACGTTCCGTCCACGACAGAGCGTGGACCGCGCGCCCACCCAGAGGGGCCTTCTTGCACTACTCCTTATCGGGACAGGACTAGTGCTACTGAAGGAAGCGGCATGGCGCGCGGCAAGTACTTGGTCTGCCCGTGGCACGGCTGCAACGGCTGGGCCTGGGCCGACCGCGGGGCTTCCCACTGCACTCGCTGTGGCTCGAAGCTCGCCGCGAAGAAGATGGTTTCCAACGATGACATGCCCCCAGGAGGAGGTGGTGGAGTACGACCAGGCCGCCCGCGGTCAGTCAACTTCGAAGGAGAACGAGATGCAGGGCATAAAGCAGGTGGACGGCGAGGGGGACGTTGGCGAGGTCGCTCGCGTGATCCCCAAGGTGCTGCCGCAGAAGAACCACCTGCCCGCGAAGAGACCACCACCGAGAAGTTCACGGACGGCACCAAGCAGCAGGACTCCAGCGGGTCCGCCATTGAGCTCGCGCAGGCGCAGATGGTCTTCTGGAAGCAGTGGAAAGGAGACACCAGCCAGGAGTATAAGGATGCGGTCGAAGGTTTCAAACGAGCTAAGCTGGTGGTACTACAAGACAAAACACCTGATCAACAAGTCCAGAGCCTCACCGACCAGCTGGCGCAGGCGAAACGCAAGCATGGTCAGTGCAGGAACACGGTCAACCAGCTCACCCAGCAGCTGGTCACGATCGCCGACAAGCGCAAGAACGCGCTCGAGGAGCACGGCCAGGCGACTGGCGAGGTGCAGAGGCTCCAGGTGCAGCTGCAGGTGGCCCAGCAGGCGGCTGCGCAGAAGGCAGTGCAGGAGGTGCCCATATCTGAGGCGATGCGCACGCTCATCGCGACCAGAATCGACAAGCCAATGGACCACATCACCGAAGAGCTTGACAAGCACTTGCTGGCGGTGGCGCAGGTGCTGGAGACAATCGAGACGAAGCAGAAGAGCGAGGACGCTGCGGCTAAGGCCGCGGCATCCACCAAGGCGAGTGAAGACGCAGATGCCGACCCCCTCCCCAAGGTTGGTGAGAAGGCTGAGGATGATGATGACCTGGCGCACGTTGCCCAACCAGTCCCAGGAGACGATGGCGATGAAGCGATGGAGGCTGCGCGCAAACGAGCTGCCGACGCACCCCAGATCAGCCAGGAGGGCATTGCCACGGCGGGCTTGGACAGCGAAGAGGCCAGCAAGAAGCTCAAGCTCTCGGCGACGGCTGCAGTACCCTCAGCTGGCAAAGGGAGTGGCGCTCGCTCGTCTCGTGGGTGGCCTGCGGACCACCACGATCAATGGCAGTTGTTGGCAGCAAGTGAAGACGTACATTCGTTCAGCTGCCTCTGAGGGTGACGGTGTGATATGTGCGCAGGAGACCAAGCTATGCACAGAGCAGTCCATCGCGTATGCTAGTCAATGGTGTGAACGGCATGGGTGGAAAGCCTTATTCGGGACAGGCTCATTCAGCTCTACGGGGACCCCGACTTCTGGAGATTGCGTTTTGATCAGGAGTGGACGGGACACGGGACTTTGGGACTCAGGATATGAAAGTGCCCAGGGAAGCTCAGGACATGGTTCCGCAGGGAAGCCTGGCCGGTGCAAGAGTAGAGCTGCCTGGGCTTGGTGTCATAGGAATTCTTTCCGTGTACATGCAGGTCAGCACAGGCCTGAACGAGACCAATTTGAACCTCTTGGCGGCCACCGCCATACTTCAGCATGAACACCAGACTCCCATTCTTGTAGCCGGGGGCTACAACATGAGTCCTAGCAAGCTGCAGAAGAATGACTTCATACAACGCGCAGGCATGCAGATCATACATTCCGCCTCCCCGACATGCAGAACCCAGGCTTCACAATCATGTTTGGATTACTTTGTATACAGTGGATGTCTCCAGCATGTGATCCACTCACCTCATGTGCATGTGTCCTATCCCCTGCCACCACATCTTCCTGTCAGTGTTCAGCTCGAGGTTGGCGAGGATATCACAGTCCCTGTCTTGTGCAAGCCGCAGCGGCTGCCTACCAAGCCTGTCTTTGGCCCCAGATTGCCAGAGCGCGACTGGATTGCCACAGAAGCTGCCCTAGACGCTGCCGAAG